AAAGGAGAAGCAACAGATTGGGAGAGACTATGTATAAAACATATTTGACAAAGGGCTTATCTAAGATATATACAAAGAACTCTTACAACTTAATGAGAAGACACCCCAAATTTGAAATGGGGAAAGGTTTGAACATTTGATCTAAGAAGTTATAGAAATGGCAAATAAGCTTATGAAAAAATGCTCTATGTCAGTAGTTGTTAGGGAAATGTAAATTAAAACAACAGTGAGATGGTATTGCATTCCCAATAGAGTAGCTAAAATTAAAAATACCATATGGCCAGGCATGGTGGCTCACTCCTGTCATCCTAGCACTCTGGGAGGCCAAGGTGCATGGATTGCTTGAGACCAGCTTGAGTAAGAGCGAGACCCCATCTCTACTAAGAATAGAAAAACTACCTAGGCATTGTGATGGGCACCTGTAGTCCTAGCTATTTGGGAGGCTGAGGCAAGAGTATTGCTTGAGCCCAAGAGTTTGAGGTTGCTGTGAGCTGTGGCACCATGACACTCTGCCCTGGGCAACAGAGTCAGACTCTATCTCAAAAAATAAATAAACCGGGGTGGCGCCTGTGGCTCAAAGGAGTAGGGTGCCGACCCCATATGCCGGAGGTAGCAGGTTCAAACTCAGCCCCGGCCAAAAAAAACTGCAAAAAATAAAAATTAAAAATTAAATAAATGAATAACCAAAACCATAGCAGTGTTCCTTTTTTTTTTTTTTGAGATAGAGTCTCATTATGTCACCCTTGGTAGTGCTGTGGCATCACAGCTCACAGCAACCTCAAACTCTTGGGCTTAAGCAATTCTCTTACCTCAGCCTCCCAAGTAGCTGAGAATATAGGTGTCTACCACAATGCCCGGCTATTTTTTTTTGTCATAGTTGTCATTGTTGTTTAGCAGGCCTGGACCAGGTTCAAACCCACCAGTCCCAGTGTGTGTGACTGGCACCCGAGCCGCTGAGCTACAGGCGCTAAGCCCATAGCAGTGTTCTGTAATTGGGCATGTTTGTATCATTCTTTCTTTTTTTTTTGAGACAGAGCCTCAAGCTGTCCCCCTGGGCAGAGT